AAATTAACTCAAAGCAGTAGCCTTCCTCTACTCAAAAGATAAACTGGCTGAGAAAGAAATTATGGAAATGACACCCTTCACAATAGTCACAGATAATATAAAATACCTGGGTATGAACCTAACCAAGCAAGTAAAAGACCTGTGTGACAAGAACTTCATGCCCCTGAAGAAAGAAATCGAAGCAGATCTCAGAAGATGGAAAGATCTCCCATGCTCATGGATTGGAAGGATTAATATAGTAAAAATGGCTATTTTGCCAAAAGCCATCTACAGATTTAATGCAATCCCCATCAAAATTCCCACTCAATTCTTCACAGAGATAGAAAGAGCAATCTTAAAATTCATTTGGAATAACAAAAAAACCCAGGATTGCGAAAACTACTCTCAGCAATAAAAGAACTTCTGAGGGAATCACCATCCCAGACTTCAAGCTGTACTACAAAGCAATAGTGATAAAAACTGCATGGTATTGGAACAGAGATAGGCAGGAGGATCAATGGAATAGAATAGAAGACCCAGAAATGTGCCCCCATACCTATGGTCACTTGATTTTTGACAAAGGGGCTAAAACCATCGAGTGGAAAAAAAGATAGCATTTTCAGCAAATGGTGCTGGTCCAACTGGTGGTCAGCATGTAGAAAAATGCAAATTGATCCATCCTTATCTTCTTGTACAAAGCTCAGTTCCAAGTGGATTAAGGACCTTCACCTAAAACCAGCCACACTAAAACTAATAGAAGAGAAACTGGGGAAAAGCCTGGAACACATAGGCACAGGAAAAATGATCCTGAACAGAACACCAATGGCCTATGCTCTAAGACCAAGAATTGACAAATGGGACTTCATAAAGCTGCAAAGCTTCTGTAAAGCAAAGGACACTGTCAATAGAACTGAGTGGCAACCAACAGATTGGGAAAAGATCTTCACCAACCCTACATCTGATAAAGGGCTAATATCCAAGGTATACAAAGAACTGAAGAAATTAGACTCTAGACATTCAAAGAACCCTATTAAAAAATGGAATACAGAGCTGAACAAAGAATTCTCAACTGAGGAAGCTCGAATGGTTGAAAAGCACCTAAAGAAGTGTTCAGCATCCCTAGTCATCAGGGAAATGCAAATGAAAACAACACTGAGATTCCACCTCACACCAGTCAGAATGGCTAAGATCAAAAACACAGGTGACAGCACATGTTGGTAAGGATGTGGAGAAAGTGGAACACTCCTCCACTGTTGGTGGGATTGTAAACTGGTACAACCACTATGGAAGGCAGTCTGGCGGTATCTCAGAAAATTGAACATAGTGTTACCTGAGGACCCAGCTATACCACTCCTGAGCATATATTCAAAAGACGTTTCAACATACAACAGGGACACATGCTCCACCATGTTCATAGCAGCCTTATTTATAATAGCCAGAAGTTGGAAAGAACAAGATGCCCTTCAACAGAAGAATGGATGCAGAAAATGTGGTACATTTATACAATGGAGTACTACTCAGCTATTAAAAACAACGAGTACACGAAATTCCTAGGCAAATGGATGGAGCTGGAAAATATCATCTTGTGTGAGGTGACCCAATCTCAAAAGAACATACGTGGTATGCACTCACTGATAAGTGGATATTAGCCCAAAAGCTCACAATTTCTAAGACCTCATAAAACTCACATAGAAGAAGGAAGACCAAAGTGTGGATGCTTTGGTCCTTTCTAGAAGGAGTATCAAAAGTTTCAACCAGAGCTCCCAAAGTCTAAACTGCCAGCCAGAGAGCACAAAGGGAGGGACTCATGCACCTATATAAGGAATTGAGTGTGACCTTGTTAGACTTCAGTGATAGTGGAGGGCCATGGTCCCCAAATGTTTGGATCCCCTACTGTGTGGGAATTGGAGAGCAGGGAGATGGGACTGGGAGGATGTTTGGAGCACACCCTCACAAAAGTTAGGAGGAGGGGGTATGGGAAAAGGGATTTGGGGGGAGAATGGGAGAGGAGATAACATTGAAAGGTAAATATGTATAATATCCAATAAAAAAAACCCCACACAGATAAAGGGTCTAAAAAAAA